CCGCCCCTCCACCCCCCCCCACACACACCACCCCCCCCCCCCCCCCCACCCCTCCACCCCCCCCCCCCCCCCCCCCCAAAAAAAAAACAACATGTCTACCGTCCCATTGCAAGAAAACCACTTTTAAGATTAGACACATTAATTAGGCGGTAATTTTATTATAGAGTATCGATGAGGAAATTTCTTTTGAGTTGGGGAGGGGGGGGGGGGGGGCTCAGACGTTCTTACGCGGGGGTGGGGCTTCGCCCCTACCCGAAGAATTGTATGAAAGAAACTCTTCACGCAAACCACTTAGATTAGACCAAATTGCCTTTGTATTGAATATCGATAATCAATGACGTCATATCAATGTGTGCACTATCCGGCTTGAGATTATTTTCTACTCTGTGCGCTAAATGTGTCGACGTCATACTTCGTTTTTCGAATTACTATGCATGTTTTTATTTTCCTTGTGTTTTCTCTAGAGCGTTCTTGTCAGACAGATAGATAGATAGATAGATAGATAGATAGACAGACAGCGAAACTATTAGTATTAATGCTTTATTATTGCTACAGCATACAAAGTGATGTTGCCCAGCTATTTTGATAGACTTGTGCTAGGTACCCATAAGGGCTGTTTGACTCAGGGACACCTTTAAGTCTCAGACCTCCTATTTATTATGAGTTAAAAAACAAGTCCTTTGCGTTTGAATCAAGTATAATTAATTACACATAAAATTAAGTTCAACAAAAAAAAAGCAAAGGAATTATAAGCTATAAACATATTCACAGCTGACTACAAAAGCACAAAAATCAACATTTTATGGGATCAAATTTTTATTATATTTTCTGACCTAGTTATGGATTAAATAGGTTAAAACAAAATATGACCAAGCTGAAGTGCACTAAGAATATTGGCTCAACACTACAAGAATATAATATAGCACCACAACAGATCATGTTTACATCACTCTGTCCAATTTTTTAAGGTCCACAGCAACAATTAAAAGAATTCAGAGTTACCACCCCTCACTGTAGATAAATATTTGCATGACAACAGTACAAAATAAAAAGAATTGCATAAATTATTCTAGACATTCAAATTCTTCATGCAAGGGGAGGTAACAACTAGGCCACACATCCTTAGGGGTCTACAGATATGCAGTTCTTTGAAAAAATAACTATTCTACACACAACTAATCTGGCATTGACTTATCAGTGTATACAATGATAACCTATCATCTTGATGTCAAACAGGAACATCTCATTACAAACTAGATATGTTTGAAATGTCATATTATTAAAAAAAAAAGTTATGTTGCTTTAAATGACAGCATAATCATATATAATAACACCAATGAACATGTCATTATACTCTACAGTTATTTGAATGACATTAAAAACATCTGAAATGACAAAAAGTCATTTGAAATAATAAGTGGCATTGAAAGGCATAAATATTTGTTAAATAAAGTATTGATAGTGAACACTTAATATGGACCTGTTTCCTACACCATCTATTATATTTTTTTTATAACTTCAGGCTTTAAAAATCAAAATATAAAAATGAAATAATTACTGTACACATAATTATGCAAATTAAATACTTACTGACCAGTTCAATTACCTTTCACAAGACAGTAACAAAAAATATATTTTAAATACATAATTTTTCTTTGTTCATTCTGAAAATTGCTTTTTTTTTTTTTCAAATTATACTTGTATATTTTTTTCTATATTTTGATTGATAAAGCCTCTACTCATCTAATAGGCTTAATTAAAAGTGAACAAAAAATTGATATAAAAATAAAGATATGTCAGGTGTAAGGCAAATTCATTCTATCACAGTTTGTAAAGTAACATCTGAAACAAAGATCCACCATTCACACCCTGGGATCTTGTTGTGAGAACCGCTGTAGACCACGTGGTATGCATCTTAAAGTGAGAACCACTGCAGACGCAGGTCCTGTCTATAAACTGCTCACCTTCTCGCCTGTCTATAAACTATCTCTTGGAATGATTCTATAAGGTGGACAGGGCTCAAACGTGTACTGAAGAGAGAGAGAACTCAGCTGGTCAAGTGGTCAAACACACACACACTCACATCTGCTTTTTTTTTATGCGGGCAGCAGTTAGTTTAAAATATTCAGGTCAAGACAACCTTGTATATTTACACTGGACAAAGATTAGTATTAGCATGTGCAGCAACAGCAGGATGAGCAAGGTCAAGGCTATGTAGACTACTGAGTGGCTTCTGGCTAATGACTGAATAATTACAACTCAGCAATAACTGTCTGATAAGAAAAAGTCGATACAAGATTTTTATAAAACATTTTTTAAAATCTTTTTTTATAACAAAAAATATCAGAGTTCTTCTGTTAATAATTTCATCAAATAGAAAAAAACTTTAAAAATTATAGTAATAATAATCTTTGTATCAAAAACAATATCTTTCATTTTTATTAATAACTATCTAGAAACACTTTGAAATATAAAGGGGTTTTGTAACTTAGAGACAGATAACTTTTGGCAGCAATGAATAAAACACGACAATAAAGGCTGTGTATAACTATAATCATGACAGGCATACAATTTAAATATTGCTATATATATATTCAGTGTAAAACAGAGCTGTATACGGCAATACATTAGTTGTACAACACAACGATCTAAGTTGTGGTTGTTGTTGTTTTTTTACTTTGAATTTGTACAAACGTATGAACAAATGTAAAACAAGTCAGCAGTTTAAGGAGAAAATGGCAGACACACATAAGTCAAGATTTCTGGCCATCAAACACACTTGTGAAATTTTGGCCATCAGACACACACAGGTGAATTTTGGCCACATCTCCATGCTGTGGTACACACATATTGTAAACAGAAAAAAAAGAAATTGGACAGGGAAATCATGCAACAGTGGGAACCACTCACTGCTGTCTGCTATTGTTGAAACTATAGCAACAGTAACTATAGCAACAATGTCTCCTAGACTAAATGTGGCTATACTAGCTCTGTGTACACTTAATTAATGTTCTAAATTGAAGATCTCTAACGAGCGTGTTTCTTGCAGTAAGCTTTTCCCCCTTTAGCACAAAACTGTTGACCTTCCAGATTGACTTGACAAGTCTGTAAGTGAAGAAAAAGTTGGATTAGTTCAGAGAGTCCTCTAAGTATGGGGGATGGGGGAGCAGTACCAGGCTGGGGGTGGGGGAGGTGGACAGCAACTGTGGCAAGCTCTAACAAGGATGGGGTGCTGGTTGTACCCCAAAATGGGGAGCCAGATATACTAAACATGGGGCAGTGGTTGAACTAGAGATAGGGTACTGGCTGTACTTGGGATGGGGCACTGGCTGTACTTGAGATAGGTTACTGGCTGTACTAGGGATGGGGTGCTGGCTGTACTTGGGATGGGGTGCTGGCTGTACTTGGGATGGGGCACTGGCTGTACTAGGGATGGGGCACTGGCTGTACTTGGGATGGGGCACTGGCTGTACTTGGGATGGGGCACTGGCTGTACTTGAGATAGGTTACTGGCTGTACTAGGGATGGGGTGCTGGCTGTACTAGGGATGGGGCACTGGCTGTACTTGGGATGGGGCACTGGCTGTACTTGGGATGGGGCACTGGCTGTACTTGGGATGGGGTGCTGGCTGTACTTGAGATAGGTTACTGGCTGTACTAGGGATGGGGCACTGGCTGTACTAGGGATGGGGTGCTGGCTGTACTAGGGATGGGGTGCTGGCTGTACTAGGGATGGGGCACTGGCTGTACTAGGGATGGGGTGCTGGCTGTACTAGGGATGGGGCACTGGCTGTACTTGGGATGGGGTGCTGGCTGTACTTGAGATAGGTTACTGGCTGTACTAGGGATGGGGCACTGGCTGTACTAGGGATGGGGTGCTGGCTGTACTAGGGATGGGGCACTGGCTGTACTTGGGATGGGGCACTGGCTGTACTTGGGATGGGGTGCTGGCTGTACTAGGGATGGGGCACTGGCTGTAGTAGGGATGGGCCTCTGGTTGTACTAGGGATAGAGTGCTAGTTGTACTAAGATGGGGCTGTAGCTGTACTAGGGATAGAGTGCTAGTTGTACTAAGATAGGGCTGTGGTTGTACTAGGGATAGAGTGCTAGTTGTACTAAGATGGGGCTGTAGCTGTACTAGGGATAGAGTGCTAGTTGTACTAAGATGGGGCTGTAGCTGTACTAGGGATAGAGTGCTAGTTGTACTAAGATGGGGCTGTGGCTGTACTAGGGATAGAGTGCTAGTTGTACTAGGGATGGGGGAGCTGGCTGTACTCTGTTAATTTACCAAGAAAATTTTATGAAGGCATTTCTTCAAAACATACTTTCTAAAAGAAGCCACTATTCAAAGCAGCTTTGAATGTACATCAAAATTGTTAAAAATGATTTCCAGTGCATCAATATAAGCCATTGGCTCTAGATTTTTTAAATCAAAATATTTTACCTATATTTTATTAATATATTGTTTCATGTTAAAATCTTTTTCAGTCAATTAAAATTGATAAATACACGTTAATGGTTCTATGACTGAATTAAAACTTAAAGCCAAATCGGATAATCTGAATATGTTAAAAAATTCCCGATAAGAAAAGTAAATAAAAGTAGAACTGATATAATTTGTACATACAGTACAGAATTTTTTCATTTGGTTTGAGAACCATGAATACACACACAAAAATCTTTGTATCTGATAACAACCAGACAAATTGTACTGCTAATATCTACATTTTGGATTATAAAATTTATTCTATGTATACAATTATTTTAAAATCCTTTTTAAAGACCATTTGTAGTTGTTGTTTTAAATTAAGAAAAATGAAATATTTATTTAGTTTGTTTCCCTTTCCAAGCGGTGAGGATTACTTCCCTTATCACCTGCAGTGAGGGTTACCCTAAGCATGCTGTAAATGATCTTTTGAAAACGAAACTTTTCAAAGCAGTGGAAGAAATTTTAAGTGTGACAAAACACTGCCATGTCATAAGAAATAACATAGACAACATCATTAGAACATGGGAATATCAACAAATCACAGTTATTTTTACAGGATGTTAACAGTGTTGCCAGATTTTTCAATACATAAATAAAACCAGATATGAAAAAGAAGTTATAGTAAGTAATGTAGTATCAAAACTAATTTTCATTTAAATTTTATTTGATCAAGAAAAATACTTGTAAGTTAAAAAGTATTAATAATTTGTTTTAAAAAAAATCCCCCGGAAGCTTGCCCCGCCAATTTTGTAAACCTAGCACCACTGGCTACTCCCTAAAGCAGGGATAAAATGTTGGTCAGTTAACACACACTGCCATCAACATGAGTAGAGTGGATAATGAACAACCACAGATCAGTGAATGGAGCATTAGAAACATCCACTGTGACACAGGAAAAATTAGCGGCAAGTTAAAACAGCAAGAGTTGTGTAAATGTGTGACCCACCGAGCAGTTAAAACATTCAGAATGAAAATTTTTCCCCATGGCCTCCACCCATCTGTCGCCTGGCTCAACAGGGAAGTTGCAGCCTGAACACATAGTCTGGAACATGCTGGCCCAGTCTGCAGGAACAAGACAAAACACATCAGCACAAATTTTATAAAGAGTCATATGGTTAAAGCAGTCTGATTGAGACAAAACACATCAGCACAAAACTAGAGTTCTATGGTTAAATTAAATAGGGTCATATGGCTAAAGAAGTCTGATTGAGATAAAACACATCAGCACAAAACTAGAGTTCTATGGTTAAATTAAATAGGGTCATATGGCTAAAGCAGTCTGATTGAGATAAAACACATCAGCACAAAACTATAGTTCTGTGGTTAAATTAAATAAAGAGTCATGTGGTTAAAGAAGTCTGATTGAGATAAAACTATCAGCACAAAACTAGAGTTCTGTGGTTAAATTAAATAAAGAGTCATATGGTTAAAGCAGTCTGATTGAAATAAAACACATCAGCGCAAAACTAAGAGGTATGTGGTTAAATTAAAGAGTCACATCATGGCTAAAGAAGGCTGATTGAGACAAAACACATCAGTACAAAACTAAGAGGTATGTGGTTAAATTCTATACATTGTCACTTAGTTAAAGTAGTATGATCAGTCTCTATCATGATTCTCTTCATGGGGGGGGGGGGGGGGGGGGGGCAGAAAAAAATAGATTTTAGAAAATGTATTCTTTAACCAGTGTTGTCGTCCATCTGTCCCGTCTCTGTCCTATTTATATTTTATAAAATGTTTCCTTTTCTAAAATTGATTTTTTTAAATGTAAAGCTAGATAACTAAACATATAAAGATGTAATTTGTTAAAAAGCAACCAAAACACTAACCCTGTTCACAGTAAAACTTTCCGTCTTCGATGTGAAATTTGGTTCCACCAATCGGCTGCTTGCACTGGGCGCACAGGAAACATTCTGGGTGGTAGCTTTTTTGAAGAGCATTGACACACTCCTGCACACAGGGGAGATAAATGTCAAGCCAAACACACAACTCAAGCTATTTTTAAAATTATTCAGAGCACTAAAGCAATAAAATTGTGTTTATTAAATACACATACTACATTTTTTAAAGAAAAAATATTGATAATAAATTTTAATGTAGGTTTTATTGAAAAATTATTTTAAAATTAAATTCTTGAGGTTAAATCTTAATCAATCATTTACTTGACAACCCAAATAATTATTTAAAATTGCATCAATTTTATTTTTTCCAACAAACTAGAGTAATATCTATTCTTTTAATGTGTACAAATCCACTTTCAGTAATAAGATTCTAGTATATACTGTACACTATAATTTACACTTCAATTTTAAATTTCTTGCTGGACCCTTTGAAGCCGAGGTACCAATTTATCTGTCTGAGCCTTCAATCTCCATGCCCTGAGGTACTGACAAAGCGGTATTAGACACCTTACCCCAGATTGGCAGTTCGTACATAAAATTATAATATTAAAAAAGTATATAACTGCCATTGTTCAACTCGTGGTAAGCTTCTGTCATGGCTGCGCCCTTGAATCAAATTTTTTTTTATGTTTATCATTTACAAAGATGGAAAACAATTTTGAAATTCCGAAACCGGCATTCTACCTATGTCTACACCTACCTATGTCTAAAAGAAGTGTCTACCTACACGTATGACCAGATTAATAAGTTTAAATTATTAACGATAATTCTTGTACGAATGTTAATTGAAATAATAAAATTAATCTTGTTGTTATATTCATAGTTTTTTTTTAATGATGGTCTGTTGTGTGTTCATTTAACTCAGGAGCTCAGGGACATGGGGATTTTATGTTCAGGAGCTAAGGGTTCAAAGGGTTAAACTACATAAATAATAGAACATGTTTATTTGAAGTAACAATTTGAAATCATTAATTATTTATCTAACCAACTGCGTAACTACTTTAATTTGAGCCCCCCCCCGTATATATTCAAGACTATAACATATTCTTACACCAATGACAGCTCGGCCGCACTTCTCACAATGAGGAGCAAAGTGTATGGCGTAATCCCTCTCACAGTAGAGGAATCCTCCCTCCTCCACAAAGCCAATGTCCAGCAGCTTGGTCCCACACTGAGGGTTGGCACATATGAAGTGGTCAGGGCACCAACATTTGCCAAGAGCAGTAACAAAAGGACCCCTAGTCAAGGCAAATGTAATTTTAATCCATTAGTGAGGTGCTCATGATTTTGTATAGACATATAGCAGAACAAACATATCATACAAACATAATAATTTTATTAAAACATAGATTAACCATAGCAATAACATATTAAATATAATATACTTACTCTATAGCATTCACACTTATACCACAGCAATCATATTTACATGCACACATATACCATAGCAATGGTCTGACTAAGTTTAAATAAGCAAATGTGCTTATTTCATCCAGAATATTTACTATCCTACACCTATTCCTAACCTTCTACCTATCCTTAAACATATCATTAACTCTATCCCTTATCATAACTATATTTCTTAGGTTTAGGCTCGATTTGTAATTGGTAAAGGGTAACTTTCTACTGTTGTTATATGGGCAGGGGTAATACATAGGTAATTCATCTGGGAGGTAATGTTGGAGAGGAATGACAGTATGGGTTGTAATGCCTTGCTCCCAGCAATCACAAATCAAATTTAACATACATGCATCATTACTTTTTCATGTTAAACTGAACACCATGAAAAGACATCAATCTAACAACAAACATGACAAGCACCAGCTTAATGACTAGCAGGCTACCTCACTCCACACTAACCCAGTCTAACCACCACACTACTGCCCTGCTGGCTACCACACCCACACTAACCTAGTCCGCTGCAGGCTGCCTCACCCACACTAACCCAGTACAACCACACCAGTCCAACCCAACAAATCTCATCTTTACCTGATGGGCATGTTGCAGGAAGAACACAGTGGTATGCGTCCAGCTGTTGGCAGGGCAGCAGGATTCATGGCAGCATCACCTTTCTTTCCCCTGGTTGCCCCCTGACCTGTAGGTTTGGGGGCCTCGCCAAAAGGTCGAGGTGTAGCATTGGTCACGGGTGCTGCAGGAGCCCAAGGTTTGGGGGCAGAAAAGGACACAGGGGCTGGTGCCGGAGCTGGGGGAGGTGGCTGGTAGCTGGGGGTGGGCACTGGCTCTGTGTTGGTAAAAATACAACTAGTTAAAAAAATGGAGTTACAATGTATTGGGACACAGCACATAAGGATTTTAAATATTTAAAAATCTCACTGCAATTTAAGCAATTTCTGACACACAATTAATTTTTTTTTCAATATTTACAAACAAATACATTTTCAACATGAAAAAAATTATTTTCAAATGTATTTAACCAATTCCTTATGATCTCACTAGCCAAAGGGTTCATGGTTAGAATACTAACAACACCCTTGTGCCTCATAGCTAAAAGAACCCAGCACAATTTAACATAATGCTTGTCAATTTTGGCCACAAAAATAGGTGAGCTCTATTCACTCTGCATTATAGACCACCAGGTCTTAAAAATGAACAATGTATTAATTAATTTTTTTTTTATATTAATTTAATATGGTTCTGTCAAGACTTTCTTTCTTTCCTAACCAAGGCAACAGGCTCACATCAATGGTGACACTTAGTCAATAGATGAATATTCATATCTGCCTCTTTACTATGAAGCTTTTTTTAAATATAATTCTAAAAAATTTCAAGCCACTAGTGTCTAATAAATATATTAAACTTACTGTATGGTGGGACATAAGCAGGCTGTGGTGCTCCACTGAAATACAATTAACTTAAAATTAGCTTCATCACTCTCCAGTCTGAAGAATAACACAACAAAGAGAGACAACTAGTCTACACATGTAACATCAAAGAGAGACAACCAACCAACACAGCAAGGCATTAGAAAACACTAAAAATGGCAAGATGCTTTAGTCCAGATTTGTTCATGCACAACTAACACCAACAACATTTGAGAGAATAAACAGAGCAGTAAATTATTTAAATATTAGAACTTTCAACTCATCTATTTAAAGCCATTTTTTAAGCAATTTCCCATGATGCTTACACATAATTTGAAAAAGCTCTATATTAACTATGCAAACAGATCCAAATTGAACACATTTACCTATCCCTGTAAATACAGTTTAAACCTAACCCAAATTTAAGCAGTAAAATTTAAAACCCAATCATTTGTTGAAATAAAAGGGTAACATTTAAAATTAGCCCACATTGATTACAAACACCAACACTGAAAAAATGTTTGTATTCATATATTTTCATTCTAATAATTTTACTTAAAGCTAGTACCTGATATTTTACTCTTTTATAAAAACTAAAAAAAAATTATTTCTCAAGCTTTTACCCGACAACCAACCATTTTATACGAAACACCTGAAATCCTATCTTTTTATCACAAATTTATACCTATCTTACTTCCTTATTCAGTCAATTCCTGACATCCCACCTTTTTAATACAAACTGATACCTGAAACCCCAGCTTTTTGCACAAGCTAATACCTGCTATCCCCACCTGTTTAACTGTTGTTCCAGTTTTTTAAATGTGCGAGAGTGGGCCACTTTGGGCTCATCCTCTTTCTTTATGAGACCAACTTCTTCCTGGACAAGGAAAAAGGTTTCGGAGGGAATATACTTTTTTCTGCCTTGCTCGTCGTACTCGCTGGGATTAAGGGGAGGTGGTGGTGGTGGTAGCTCTTCTGTATTAAAGTTACTGAAAGAGTCAAGATGCTAGTACTAGTTACATGCAACAACAGAGTTAGTACAACATTTCCTAGTCTAGAACACAACATGCTAGTAAAAATAAACAACAACAAAACAAGCAATTCATTTCAAAAAAAAAAAATTTAAATTGAATAACAAGCAGAGTTACTAGAAGAAATAAGAAATTGATTCAGCATGCAGCAGTTTAAATTTATGTTTAAAAGATGGCAAACAAAAGATGGTAAACAATTTTACTATTTTTAATTTTCACGTCTTGGAAAGGTAAAAAAAAAATAATTGTCATAATAAATTTGGAAATAAAAAGGCAAGCAATTGCTTAATTTGTTGGATAAAAATCTTAGAAATAAAGTATTTAATTATAGAATAGTGTGTTTATATTATTTTGTTAAATATTTTGTTATGTAGCAACACATTATATGTGGCAAAGACAAAGATTGCTGCCATCTCTGGTGCACTCTGGTGACAGAGTTGAGAACCATTGAGGCTGTGACAGTTGCTGCTGTAACACTGAGCTCTGGTACCCACCCTGGTGTGTCATCTTTCTCTATGAGAAATTTGGATTGACCTTCCAACTGGGTGGACGCGTTCTCTGAGGAGTAGAGCCCAATGGGGTTATTGTACTTCTGGGAGACTATTGCCTTGACCGTCCCCGGCTTACTGCCAGGGCCTATGGGTGTCGGGGACGGGCCCCTGGGCTCTGTCTTGTTAACACTGCCAGCTACCCGGGGCTTTAAGGCTGTGTTCAGTTCTGAAAGGGGTATCAGAGAGTTGGATCAAACATGCATGCATGCAGCCGAGGTCGCAACAACCCCCATCCATCGTCTAGCTAAGCTGTTACAGATTTCTTTAAAGTTGTTCATCAAAAGTGACTATTTTTATGAAAAGGGTACAGGTATTGGTCGAATAAAAAACATAAAGGTTTCAAGGGTAATTTTAAACGATTAAGAGATCAAGGGTAGTTTTAAAATAAAACTAGACTTAACCAAAGTACTTAAAGTAATAACTACAACACAATTATATCCTAAATTTTTTAAAAATATTTACTAAAAGAATAGATAATCCCAAACTTCTGCCAAATATTTAAAAGTAAAATATCTTTAACCGTTTTAATTCCAAGAAAACGGGGTCAAGGCCAGCTAGCTGGATTACCTCTCCCTTCATCCATGAGATTAGCCAAATATTTGAAAGACTTGGACTGATGCTGGGCTGGGTCAGGCTGCTCCTCTCGTTCTGCATATTTTTCAGCGGCAGATTGGAAAGGTGGCGCCACGTTTGGCTCACTGTTAGTTTATTGGTTAGCCGAAATGGGAAGGAAAGAATCATAAAAACATACCAACAAAATTTAAAATAAAATAAAAAGATGGTGGATAGGTTCAAGGTTAAAAAGTGACCAACAAACTGACAGGATAAAATGCTGAAAGAAATGTAGAGGTAGAGGAGCACAACACACTTAGTGCCAGGTGTTAATGGGAGGGTCACTCTTCACCAAACTACCTGTGAAAATATTTTGATCATGTCCAGGTCATTAGCAAATATGTCATTGGTTTTGTTTACAAATGTCAAGCCAATGTACAGTACAGATCAGTCACTAATATAGATGTCATCAGCTGATATTTATGAATGTCAAATGTCATGATAAGGTTATCTTGAACACTGGAAAAACAAACATGCAGACCATCAAGATGTGAGTCAATCACATGACCAGAAAACAAGGGAGACAAACACTAACCAGAAATATTCAACATCATAATCATAAGAAAATTATCTTTTCCTAAATTCCAGACCCAGATATAGAAAAAAAATTTTATTGCAAATTTTACACTAATTTTTTATTTGATGAATAAAATAAAATTCTTGTAGCTTTTAAATTTAAACCTTTAAATTTTATATTTTACTAATGATAAAATGTTTATTATTTTTTAATTCTCACATTACTCAGCTAACGAGAAACAATTGTTTTTTTTTAAAGATTTTGAAGTGTCAAATTATTCATAATGGTGCATTCAGACTTACTCCCCTTTACTAATACAACCAATCATAAGCCATTATTTAGAAAAAAAAATTGAATATAGCCATTATTTTGAAAAAATATGTTATAATAAAGGTACTACAACAAATATATTTTAAGCACTTCGAAGTCAGGTTCCAATTCCTGCAAGAATCTATCCAAAAGCATAGTTGTTTCTCACCAAGGTTACTGGTTTACGGATTTACACTGGTAGAAGAATAATTTGAGGTCCCCTTGATATCACTTACCTGGCTAAGGACAGGTTGGAGGTTTGTAGCGAAAGATTTGTTTCATAGCTAGATTTGACTGGCGCTTGACTGCCAAATGGACGAGGGGCTGAATTAAAGTTCTGTAGGATGGGGGAAAATATGTAATATATAACAGATGTATGGAGGAGGATGAGGCAAAAACATACGTTCAAAACAAAAAAAAAACCTTTGACCATTAACAAGTGTTGTTCGAAAGAGCAAAAAATATTAAGGAAACAATTTGAGTCGAGGAAAAGTATCAACTTAGTAGAAAGACAGATAAATTGTAACTGTGTTGCATGATGAATTTAACATGTGACAAATATCAAAATAAATGACCAATGTGATCACTGAGCTAGCCATATGTTGTACTACCCAATTTATTCATATAAAATAGTGATATAGATGCACATCTTGAATGTATACCCTCTCAAAATACCACACTGGCTTAGCACCACTTTTCCACATCTACATTACAATGACCTACAAGTTATATGACAACAAACAGATTAGTTATTTAAATCAGTATCATACGAAAGCTGTGACCTTTTAACAAAGAAAGCAATTGTTTAAACATAGCTTTAAAAAGTTTTATACAATCCATAAACATAAACAAACAAGTCTTACAGTTCTTGTCAATTAACAAAACAACCTTGATGAGCTAAGATAATGTACACATTAAAAGATATAAAGAGTTGAAGTGCACTTAAGTGACCTTTAGGGTCAAGTGACCTATGGGGTCTGAACCAACTGACCTGGGAAGAAAGTGGTGCAGCTGTTACATTGATAGGCTGAGCATTCCATGTTGAATTGACTTGTACATTGTTGAATTTATCATAACCAGGAGCGCCTCCCCTGTAAAATAAAAAGGACACTTTTTTAACTTAATGACTATTCAAGTTATTTTAAGCCTTTAATTATAACTTCATTCGCTCAACAATTATATACAATTTGCAATTTGATGTACAAGTTCAAGCATGGACAATACAGTTGGCTCTATAAAAAAAAAAAAAATCAGCTAACATGATTTACCTTGCTGTTGATCTAAAGACTGGTTTTTAAGTTTCATCAATAGATATTTAAAGCATAATGAAATCTTTGCCAGTTTAATTTCTTTAAATATTATACATGTTAAATAAAGTTTTTTTTTTGCCCATGTAAAAGAAAAAACACATTACATAATGAAAAGATGAACTTATAATTGTTTTAACAAATGACTTATTTTCTCTAAAACTGTCATCAATAACTCAGAATAAATGTAACTTTTTATCAATTAATTATAACAAGAATCATTTTTACAGTACATCTCAGTTCTTCAAAGTTTTAAGCAATGAAGGTGGATTCTGAAAACATTAATAATACTATGTGGCATCAAGATGGTGTAGGGGCTTCCCCACTACAGATTGGCCCTGCTGCCAACCTCACCATGTAAAGACCACTAACATCAAAATCACACCAGAGAACTATAACAACATTTACTAAAGCAGTTATTGCAGCCATTTCCATACAGTGATTTCCAGTTTGTTGAGAATGTCTCAAACATTTAACGAACCAACAACAGGCTTTAATGATTAGGGAGACCAAATTGTGACATGAAAATTAAGACCAAACCATGATGACTTCTTCCAAATGCTGAAGTGATGTTAACACAACATTGACTTCATTTAAAAGTAATTAAAGCAACATAATGTGTGTCACTTATTACAACATGATATGTGCTACTTGCTACAACATAATGTAAGAACCATGAAGTACACAACACAATATATAAACCATACTGAACATATTTTAAATGACAGTGTTAAGTTACACTTTCTAAACCCCCCTCCTCACATGACTAAAGTCTGAATGTAACATCATTATAGTCTAATGTACTGGGAAAAATAGCGTACACAAATATTTCTAACAGACAGGCCAAGGCATTTTATTTAAGGCTGATACATTGAAGTGTGCTGATAGCATAGCCAGTACATTGGCCAGTTGCCATTGCCTTCCCCACGCCAAAACAGATGGCTGGACTGATCTTGATTTCTGTTGAACATCTGACTAACTCGCACACTAGACCAATGTCCATTAGCCTTTTAAAGCCTGTGATATCCCGCATAAATCAAAGAGTAGACTATATCATACTATTTGTAAACCAGCAGAGACTTGCCCTGCTTTGCTTTTTATAATAAATGTGGACTTACGAAGAGTTGTTTTTTATTTCAGGGGAGGCCACTCTGACTCACTCAGTTATGCAAGAATCATGGATTGGTTTGAAAAAGAAATCAAGTAATTAGAAACCAGGGAATTGGCTTAATTAATTGATCTAATATTTAACAAGACCTAATAAATTATGATGTACATTGAATTTCTTTAATTTTTTTTAACTGCAACAAGCAGCATTTTTGTATTGGCTTAAATATGACCATCTGTGTATGATGGTACAGTGTGGTGGTTCCATGATGGTACAGTATGACAACCATAACATCTGTGTGGGCATTGATGGTACAGTATGACAACCATCCCCTCAGTGTGGTGGTTGGATGGTAGTGTGACAACTATCCCCTCAGTGTGGTGATGGATGGTAGTGTGACAACCAGCCCCTTAGTGTGGTGGTTAGATGGTAGTGTGACCACCATCCCCTCAGTGTGGTGGTTGGATGGTAGTGTGACAACCATCCCCTCAGTGTGGTGGTTGGATGGTAGTGTGACAACCATCCCCTCAGTGTGGTGGTTGGATGGTAGTATGACAACCATCCCCTCAGTGTGGTGGTTGGATGGTAGTGTGACAACCATCTCCTCAGTGTGGTGGTTGGATGGTAGTGTGACAACCATCCCCTCAGTGTGGTGGTTGGATAGTACAGTATGACAACCATCTCCTCAGTGTGGTGGTTGGATAGTACAGTATGACAACCATCCCCTCAGTGTGGTGGTTCCATGATGGTACAGTATGGCAACCATCTCCTCAGTGTGGTGGTTGGATGGTAGTGTGACAACTATCCCCTCAGTGTTGTGGTTCCATGATGGTACAGTATGACAACCATCCCCTCGGTGTAGTGGTTGGATGGTAGTGTGACAACTATCCCCTCAGTGTTGTGGTTCCATGATGGTACAGTATGACAACCATCCCCTCAGTGTAGTGGTTGGATGGTAGTGTGACAACTATCCCCTCAGTGTGATGGTATAGTATGACAACCAGCCCTTTAGTTATCTGTATGGGCACTCAGTAGGCCTACATCACATTTGTTGGAGAATTCTTACACTTCAATCAACACTTTATAGTCTATCACCTTTTTTATTTTTAACTTAAAATGTTAAAAATGGGTTATGAGAAGCTCCAAAAAAAAAAAAGCAGATCTGAGCATGTTTGCACGATCAGTCAATACCCATAATGTAATAATCAATACATTCCTTATTTTAGAACTCTGGATAATAGGTCACACAATATGGCTAGTTCCATACACTTGGTATAGGTCTAATGGTCTAATAAATCTTGGTTCAAAATGAGAGGGGGGGGGGGGAAGAGGTAAAAAATTAAATAATAGTTGCTGTATGGTGAATCTATTTTAAGAAACCAGGATCCTATTTATACTGAGGGAGGGGGGAGTAAATAAATTATAATCATGTTCTACACACCCTTAGACAAAAAATAGGTCATAGTACTTAAAAAAAAAACAGGTTCTTGTAGTAAGGGAAATAAGAAAATGCAAAAAAAAAAAATATTTTTAAATAAAAAGAAATTTAAAAGCAAAATGTGAATATGTATGGTAATAAAATAAAATGAATGGAGCAGGATTTCAATGCAAATGAATGGGAAGGGACAAAACTAATAAAAAAAAATTAAATGCTTTTAAATTAAAATAGATTTCACTCTATAAAATACTATAAATTTACAAGGGATTAAATTCTAGGTATAGACTAGACTCTAGATCTATTTGTAACATTGTAACTTTTTATTATGTTCAAGCTTTGGGATGCTGAAAGGTAAAATATAAAATAACTTTGGAAATATCATTTTTTTTATCTAGATTCTAGATTAGATCTAGATTTTCTAGATCTAGCCGCAATCTAGCGTCGTCATCTTAGATTCCAGATCTAATCTAGATTTTAGATTTTAGATCTAGATCTAGAATCTAAATATAAATTAAAATAATTGGAAATAAGCTGGAAGGCAGATTTATAAAATAAAATATGATGGTCAATCAAACTAAAGAACTGCCATACAATGGTCAATCGAACTAAAGAAATGCCAGCATCCATCTAACGATCAGGTGAGTAAAAGACATGCCGCTAATCATACCGCTAATGTTAGTTGTCGTGTGCGCTAGGTCACGTGACAAACATGAATCATGACAACAAGGAAGTACTTTACTTACCATCCATTGCTCTGACCTCTCTCTCGAATTCTTTAATTCAAGCAGGTAGAAATAAATGACTTTTTATGTAATTTATAAGAACAGACATTTCTAGATCTATATAAAGATTGTTACAACTAAAATTCCTGTCTTCGCAAGTGAATGCAAATCATTATCGATTTTGTATCGCCAATAAATCGAGACGAGATTTGGCAGACGAGTAAACAAACACAAGTCATGATTCATAGAACACAACAGTTTTTTTTAGCACACAGACAAAGTTACAAACGAGACAAGTTTTTCTAGCTTTTTGTTGCAGTTTTCTGTCGTTTAACGGCTTAGCTTTTTTTGATGACATAAAATAGAAAACGAGGTCACTGAATCTTAGGGAAAGTACACGTACACACCCAGGGATAATGCTTGGTTAAATGGGACCGGAAGTGCAAAGTAAACAGAATATTATTATTACTTGACTAGGTCCATTAGGCTCAGCCAGTATCAGCTTGGTAAATAAAACGTTAGGCCTACAGTGTTACACTTACACAGAGTTTCTTCCAGGCATCTCTTCGGGGGGGCGAAGCCCCCCCGAAAAATTTTTACCGCCCCCCCGAACGAAATGAAATTTATATAATTTATATAGAAAATATATACTTTTAACAGTGTCCGCCCCCCCGAAGAAAGTTTACCGCCCCCCCGAAGATTTCAAGTGCCCCCCCGGAGAAAAAAGTCTGGAAGAAACACTGCACTTACACCCGCAGATGACGTGACGTAAAATAAAGGTGTCTAAATCACGTGACTGTGCCCCCCAGTTTGCCGCCAAAATGTTTTGAAAAACGTAAAAATGCCGGCCCCGTTTAAAAGGGTAGGCCTAAGGCCGGGTGACTTGGATTTAAACGCGATGAGTCATAAGGGGGGGGGGGGTCGTCAATAAATGACGTTACACTCGTAGGGGGGAGGGGGAGGGTCCGTAATTTTGTGGCGGTGTGTGATGAGGGGGAGGGGGTTCAGATGGTGAGACGTCACACTTTTGCATTAAAAAACAGCAATGCTAGAAAGACGTTAGGCCTATTTCGCGTTTTAGAAAACTGTTTTAATAAATTGTAATAGGAATTGATTAAAATACTCTATTTTGACAGAGTTCAGACACGATTTTGGAAAAATATCGATGTTTTAAAAAAAATTCAACTGCAATTTTGAGAGGGGGGGAGGGGGTTGTAGGCTGAGGTGTGACGTCATTTTAGGGGGGGGGGGGGTCTGGCTTTTCGTGTGTCGGAGGGGAGGGAGGGAGGTAAAAATTGTCCAAAAAAAGCGTGACGCCATTTATGGATGACCCCTAATGTCGCATATCGAAATTTTGGATATTTTATTCTAGTAGTCATTAGTAGTTAGGCCTAGGCCTATAGCTCTGACTCCACGACTCCGGCGTCTGCACATCGTGTGTTAGATGTGTTACACGAGTAACCTAGGCCAGGAGTCGGCAACCTGCGGCTCGCGAGCCGCATGCGGCTCTTTTGATATCAAGATGCGGCTCTACAGCTCTTTGAACAAATACTAATAATCTTAATAAAAAAATAAAATATTTGAAATAAAAAAATGTTAGTGGCTCTTTAAAACCAGGTAAATATTGAAAATTGTAACTTTTGGCTCTTCCGCTTCAAAAGGTTGCCGACCCCTGACCTAGGCAGATGGGTTGAGTTAGGAAATGTAAACATGGGAGAAGGGAAAAGATAACTCTCGACGATTCTAAGCCCGAGAGAAAAGCTTGGGCGTGATGTTAATGTAGAAGTCATGGACCGACTCATGGAGAGCTCGAATTACGTTTTCGGGTTAATTGGAAAATGTAAAGGCACATAAGAGCTGGGTGAAGTAAAGGCTCATTACTCATGAGAGACTTAATGCATGGCATAACCAGAGTTTCTTTAGGGCATCTCTTCGGGGGTCCCCTTCGAACGAAATAGAATTTATTAAGAAAATATATACTTCTACCAGCAGGGGCGTAGCGAGGGGGGGGGGGGACGGGGGTGCGGACCGCACCGGGTGACACCATTTAGGGGGTGACACCACGGCAAAAAATAACAAAATATATAGAGAAAAATGATAATTCCACTTAATTAAGTGATTAATTCGAGTGTTAAATAGTCTTTTAAGAGGTGCAAATAAAAAGTTTGAGGGGGGGGGGGGGTACAAATCGAAAATTGAAAGTTTGTCCCCGGGAAGGGTCGCTACGCCTCTGGGGGTGACACCATTAAGTGCCGCACCGGGTGACACCCGACCTCGCTACGCCACTGTCTAGCACCCCCCCCCCCCCCCCCGAAAATTTCAGGAAAATGTCTGAATGATACACTGGGCATAACCATTGCAAGACAGGGGGGGGGGGGGGGAATAAGACCAGAGTTTCTTTCAGACCTCTCTGTAACCCTCCCCCCCCCCCTTTCCATAGAACGAATTGAAATTTAAAAAATTATATGGTGTCCGACCCCTCCCCCCACACTCCATAGTGATAGTTCGTTCAAAGTGTCGCCCCCCCCCCCCCCCCCCGCCGGAGAAAAATGTCTGAAAGAAGCAATGGATGGGAAAGAAATGTTGATAAGTTCTAAACTTCCGATGTGTGGTGGTGGTAAAACTAGTTTGAAAAATTTACTGACGGTGGCAGAACTAGTTCCTCAATAAGCTCTGGTCAGACTAGTTTCTTAATTCCCAGTAAGTTGTGGTCAAAAATGTATGTCAAGTAGCTGTGATGTATCCTAACGTGAGTAAATTATTTTTATAATTTTTCTCTTTACAAGTAATACACTGGAATGAAATTTGGTTCATGTTATAAATAAGAAAAATATCAATGTTCGCCAGCTATTAGGCCTATCGTATAAAACAAAACACACGAATAACACGGTAGATATTGAGATAGATTGTCGTGCATATGAAACAAACGACCACACTGTGCTGTAGCGTCAAAGCTTAGATAAAGCAGCCAATCAAATGCCGTACCTTTGTATGAGCAAATCAAGATGGTTGCCGCTATCTAAAATGGACGACTGCGCATCTTTGTGCCGTAAATCTTCAGTTGACCTGGCTCCGATTTTTAGAATAATATCTCCCACTTGTAGACCGCATTTGGCCGCCAGACTGCCAGGGTTAACCTGCAGAGGAAAAAACAAAAGAGTTTCTTGAAGATAGAAAAATGGTTTCCTAAAGAAATACATCAAGACAATGTTTCTTCTGTTATTAAATAATGACACGTTAGGCTAGACGTCCAAATTAGTAGCAGGCCCGAGTGAGTGAGAAAGACTGAAACCATCTTATTCTTTGGGGAATTTGTCAAATTCTATATTTACATTTACCGGAACAATTATTACTTTTGATGTTAGTTTTTGAGATTCTCCACAAATGACCTTAAGCAACAAAGGGGTCCGAATTTCGTAACGACATGGAAGGGATGAGGGGGGGGGGGTAACAACAGTACAACAGATGTTTTAAAATAAAAAAATGAAAAAGGCTACTCTTGAAGGGTGGGGGTGGAAATTTGTGACGTCATTATATGCGTGTGGGTGGGTGGGTTTGGTCGACCCCCTAATATTAGATAGGAGATGACAGCTGAAAATAAAGTACCTTCAACACGGCAAGCGTAAGTGGATTTCCGGTCAACAAACCAAAAAGAGTTCTGACACTTAACTCTGGTATTCTTTCGTTCATCAAGGGTTAAACTCAGTCTCTTTTTTTTTTTTGACAGTTTTTTTAACTGTGTGCGAACTAGAAGTCTGGATACGGCGTTTTTATTTTTTGGGAACATTTTTAACATGGTGCACTCTTAACATGGTACAGTCTTTACATGGCGCATCCTGAACAGTTTCTTCCAGGCATCTCTTCGGTGACCCCCCCCCCGAAGAAAGTCTACCGCCCCCCCCCCCCCCGAACGAGATGGAACTTATATAGTAAGCACACACTTTTACTAGTGTCCGCCCCCCCCCCCCCCGTAGAATGTAGACCCCCCCCCCGGAGAAAAAGTCTGGAAGAAACACTGGTCCTGAACATGGTGCATTTTCAACAAGGTGGATTATCAATATTGTGCATTTGTAACGTTTTACATTCTCAGCAAGGTGCATTCTTAACATTGTGCATTCGTAAATTGGTACATTCGTAAAATGATGCATTCGTAAAATGGTGCATTCGTAAAATGGTGCATTCGTAAAATGGTGCATTCGTAAAATGGTGCATTCGTAAAATGGTGCATTCGTAAAATGGTGCATTCTTAACATGGTGCATTCTTAACATGGTGCATTCTTAACATGGTGCATTTTCAACGTCTGCTCTACTGTTATCACCCCACCCCCTCACAGGGCTAAAGTATCCGTGCACGCACGGTGCACCTATATTTAGATCATAAAAGACAAAACAGACTTGGCAATCAATAGGAGCTGACTAGACAATCAGACAAGGCAATCTTAGCCTCGCAGAGTTCTAAGATCCCAGATACCGTCCAAAAATAGCAGGTTGGAGAGTTTAAAATATGCTGAAGGGGGGGGGGGTCTGGGTCATTTGGATCGTAGGCCAACATTAGTCGGCTGCAAAGAGAGTGGCCAGCTTAAGACGGCCACAGAGACATGGGTGTTGCCAACTTTAGACCGCCACAGAGACATGAGTACGGCCAACTTTAGACGGCCACAGAGACATGAGTGTGGCCAAGTTTAGACGGCCACAGAGACATGAGTGTGGCCAAGTTTAGACGGCCACAGAGACATGAGTGCGGCCAACCTTAGACGGCCACAGAGGCATGAGTGTGGCCAACTTTAGACGGCCACAGAGACATGAGTGTGGCCAACTTTAGACGGCCACAGAGACATGAGTGTGGCCAACTTTAGACGGCCACAGAGACATGAGTGTGGCCAACTTTAGACGGCCACAGAGACATGGGTGTGGCCAACTTTAGACGGCCACAGAGACATTGGTGTAGCCAACTTTAGACGGCCACAGAGACATGAGTGGGGCCAAATTTAGACGGCCATAGAGACATGAGTGTGGCCAACTTTAGACGGCCACAGAGACATGAGTGTGGATAACTTTAGACGGCCACAGAGACATGAGTGTGGCCAACTTTAGACGGCCACAGAGACATGAGTGTGGCCAACTTTAGACGGCCACAGAGACATGAGTGTGGCCAACTTTAGACCGCCACAGAGACATGAGTGTGGCCAACTTTAGACGGCCACAGAGACATGAGTGTGGCCAACTTTAGACGGCCACAGAGACATAGGTGTGGCCAACTTTAGACGGCCACAGAGACATTGGTGTAGCCAACTTTAGACGGCCACAGAGACATGAGTGCGGCCAAATTTAGACGGCCACAGAGACATGAGTGTGGCCAACTTTAGACGGCCACAGAGACATTGGTGTAGTCAACTTTAGACGGCCACAGAGACATGAGTGCGGCCAAATTTAGACGGCCACAGAGACATGAGAGTGGCCAACTTTAGACGGCAACAGAGACATGAGTGTGGCCAAGTTTAGACGGCCACAAAGACATGAGTACGGCCAGCTTTAGACGGCCACAGAGACATTGGTGTAGCCAACTTTAGACGGCCACAGAGACATGAGTGCGGCCAAATTTAGACGGCCACAGAGACATGAGTGTGGCCAACTTTAGACGGCAACAGAGACATGAGTGTGGCCAAGTTTAGACGGCCACAAAGACATGAGTACGGCCAGCTTTAGACGGCCGCCGACAAATTAACGTTAAATTTAATCGCCCAAAAGAGCTAAGGTTGGAGCCAACTTTACCTAGGCATAAAAACCTGGGTGAGGTTTGACCAACTCCAGCATGTCACAAAGACCAATTCTCTGAGTTAATAGCGTTCACTCACATCTAAAACAATACCGTGAGGTTAAACAGCTGGTATATTAAAATTTTGTTGTCCACAACACGCCCAATTCGCCCTCGTCATACGACGATATGTTTCCCATGCTCATTTGGCCCTTGAATGGGGATGATACACAACTTAGTGGTCGTCTTTGTACTCAGCTGGGCTATGGTTTAGCTAGGTGGTGGTCCAGAGCTAGTCTTTGTCAAGTAAAAACAAGTATTGTATGATGGACGAGAGAGCTTGTCCTATATTTGTCAAACGACAACCGTGTTAAGTAATTTCAAGTGGTTTTTGTTTCTATTTCAATGATGTTCTGTCTTGGCTTATTAATTTGGAATAGATCTAGGTCACAAGACAATGCGAGCGAGGTGGTGAACATTGGATGCCGAAAATAGAGATGGGATGGCAAACATAGAGTTGGGTTGGTGAGCAAAAAGATGGAAGGGCAGACATAAGGATCGGATGGCAAACCTTGGGTTGGGTTGCTGAACATAAGGATGGGATGGCAAACATTGGGTTGGGTTGCTGAACATAAGGATGGGATGGCAAACATAAGGATGGGATGGCAAACCTTGGGTTGGGTTGCTGAACATAAGGATGGGATGGCAAACCTTGGGTTGGGTTGCTGAACATAAGGATGGGATGGCAAACCTTGAGTTGGGTTGCTGAACATAAGGATGGGATGGCAAACCTTGGTTTGGGTTGGTGAACATAAGGATGGGATGGGAAAAATATTGTTGGGTTGGTGAACATAGGGATTTGAACGCGTACGTAGGGATGTAATGGAGAAGATTCACCTGGGATGGCAAGCGAGCCCTAGTTTACGTTACGACAATCCTATAACGTCGATGACAGTACGTTACACACAGGGGAATGTGGGGTCTGTAGTGTTATCCCACCACATTTCACCAGCAGCCAAGTTTTATCTGGACTTCTGATAGCCGGCAGGCCGGTACAGTATCGGTTAGAGGATTTTTTTCTTTCGGTATCGCTGTGAAGTTTAGGTTTTCTGGTCAGGGGTCAGGATTATGGTTTGGGTTAATGCCAAGTTAAACACTGAGTTACCTTCAGGCATCTTTCCTGGTGCACTTCCCCCCTGCCCCTCCCTTCCCGGGCGAGAAAATAACTATATAGAACATAAATATATATTGTAACCAGTCTCGTCTTTCCCTCCCCCTCGCCCCATAAATTTTAAGTCCCCCCCCCCAGTGGCGTAGGCAGGTGGGGTTAGGGGGGGTCATAACCCCCCATAGACCCCTCGGTATATAGAAAAAGTATGTGGGGGTGCAAATCGAAAGTTTGAGGGGGTGGGGGTGCAAATCGAAAGTTTGAGGGGGGGGGGGGGTGCAAATCGAAAGTTTGTCCCCGGGTAAAAATTGGAACCCCCTCTTGAGACGCTCCTGGCTACGCCACCCCCCCCCCCCCCCCCCGCCCAACAATATTATAAAAATGCTTGAATGAAACCCCGAAGTTAAAACTGACGATCTAAGCATAAAAACATACACTTCCATAAGACACTGTGATCTCAAAAGTTATAGGGTCTATCTGGGTTTTTGCTGGAGGTTTTGTGTGTGTGAATGTGTACCAAAGGCCATAGTGTTAAATGTCGAGGAGTTATCTACACACCCTGAGCAGCATCAAAAAGGTTTCTTTGTATTCAGGGAGTTACCCTCACGTCCGTAAAGTTACACACAGACACACACACACATACACACATTATCAGAACAACTAGAAGAAAAGCCTTTGACCTTTCTCCCAGCCGCTCGGCAGAAGTTACTCATCAATGTACGACACGACAGACCAAGCCCCGCCCCCATCACTCCCCCACACACGTTGATTGACATGTTTGTCCGTGACTTTAAAAAGCCGGGCTAACCAACTCTCGATTTTTGAGTTGTTTGACGGCCACTAGAGCACACACCACACGGACTCTATTCCTGGCCAGACCTCGCTACTTTCGGCAAACACCGAGTGTGGACTCACTGTTGCCGGCACATGTTGCGTCTCAGTCAATCGGTCAGACAGTCAGTCAGACAGACAGACAGACAGACGGTCGATCCGCTGGTCAGTCAAACAGTCCGTAGGTCACTCAATAAGTCGGGCAGTCCGAAGACCAAAAAATATTATTAACTTGTTTGTTTGTTTTTTGGACTTTAGGACACCTAAATTATATTTTAATGACTTTTTCCACATCCCCCTCACCCCACCACTCTTTTATATTTATACATTTCATACCAACCACGAGTTTGGGTTTCGGTAAAGTTTTACCAGAAAAATAGTAG